ATGAAAACTTTTTCAAAGAAAAGAAAGACCTTGTCAATTTTTTTAAATATTCGTTTGGTCCGTAGATTTTTGTGCACTGATTTATTACCTATGCAATGTTTTTGCTTCAAATTAGCAAGCGTTATCATTTCAGAACGTAGACTTATTTTTGTAAACAATATGACAGAAAAAGTCTTTGTTTCATTTTCTCAAAATTACACTTTTGTGAACCAACAAACAAATTTCAGCTTGTTTGATTTTCAATCCGTTTTTCAAGTTGATTTCAATCATATCAACTCTGGTTCGGCATACTAACATGATTGTTTTTTTTCTCACTAGGCTTGAATTTTTTTCAGTTCATACTTTGTCGGCTTATGAGCATCATTTTGCATCAGTGAATGAACGAAACAAATTCCTTAGCCATGTGAGGTTTTCAATATAAATTGTTTAGTAAAGTTTTTAACACCTCTTTGTTTTATCTATTTTTTGCTGCGTTCTTACAGTTTAAGTTTCAATCATCTATTTAGATCTCAAATTTTGTCGATTTGAAAATCGCTTCATTTCTATGCACATTTTCTCCCGTTTTTTTTTGGTTATCATGTAGTTCAAACATGAAGGTATAAACTTTTTGGTAGATATAGCTTTTTACGACATTTTAAAGTTTTTTAGCGGTTTTCATCTTCAATTTTTGGTCTGCTAATTTGTCAAGTTATGTTTGTGTTGTAGCGCAAAAAATGTGAAGCACCAGTTTGCGTCTGTGTAAATTTTTGAAACATGAAGGGTTACAAAAAAGACAGCAAACTACTAGAAAAATGAAAATTAAAAAAAAATGAAAAAAGCTATAGGCTTGAACAACAATTTATGAAGCTTTTTTTAAAATTGTTTTCAACTTTGCTTGTTTTTTCTCGAAGAACCAATTTTAAAAAAAAACGGTTGTATATCAATTAGAAAAATAGACAAACCCCGATTGTTTGCAAGACCTGATTTAAACGAGTATGCTCAAAAAGTCTTGAGAAAACTATGCGCTAAATGCTAAACTGATAACTGAACTTGAGTTTTGGCTGAAAATTTTTTTTTTGTTTTTGGCGATGCTACTCAACTGCACAAGCAATAATATGTACCTTTGAAAACTTTGTCATTGCATTACTTAAAGAAATTAGTGTCCACAAGTCTCGGGTGTATTAAGAAATTTAGTGTTACAATTAACTAAACTTTACTATCCAAGCTAAATAAACGCGCTGGTTTAAAAAAACTCGGATTCGTAAGATGAGTAGCTAATCAGGTTGCTATCATTAAATAATCGTGCTTCTTGATAAACCTAACCCTTAGTGATGGCCTTGCAATGGCTAAGAGTATAGTGAGAACTGTCGAAATTGATGACTAAATTTTACTATCTAAGCTAGAATAGTGCAAGTACCAAGAAATAGTCATGTTTTTACAGTCCAATCTAAGGGAGCGAAAACAAAAAAATGATCAAGTGAGAAGAGTCGCTGTAAAATATTTTTAAAGTACTGAGTACCTAAAGGATCCGTAAAAAATCACAGCTGACAAAAACTTCAATGACATGTATAATAGGGGGTACTACTATCTGAACCAACGGGAGTAGTGATTTCTAAGCAACAAGTTTCAATAGAGACGCTAATTTTGTTAAAATTTGGCGCAAAGATGATAGTATATCAACCTTGACAGGGCAAAATTTTCTAAAATTGGAAGAAGTTAAAAAGTTAATGAATTAAAACTTAGAAATGGCGAGTCTTCCCGAAACCTGGCAGTTTTAGTTGTCAATAACTCCTCATTAAATCCAAAATAAGTGCAGACGCTCTTGATTCGCTGAGTTTTTTTACATAGTTAGATTTATTTCCCCAAAAATTATTCGACAAAAAAAAATTTCAATGAGAAATCACCACTGATTTTAAGACACTTTAATCAGTTAACTTGTCTAAAATAACTGGCGCATGGAGGTTTAAACTTTTAGCTTCAAGCTGGTTATATCCAACTGCTTATAACAATTGGTCAGCGTTAAATGGCTCAATTTTTTTGGCAAAAATTATTATCCGCCTAAGTTGAATAAATTGACAAAACGTCATCTGATCACGTAATAACAAAAATTGCAATTTTGTTTCTGATCATTTCGAGCAACATTATTAATGAAAATTCAAAAATTTTATTTAAAAATTGAATCAGTGATAAAACGCACCGCTATTAGGTATTTTTATCTATGTTTCGATTCTTGTTATAATTCCGACCACATCACTGAAAATTTTAGGGAAATATGCTTTTTTTTGCTCAGTTTGGAATTTTCTAAACAAAAATTGCAAATGGTTATTGAAATTGTTCTAAAGAAAGCCCGCAAATGGTAAAATGTGGTATTCCAATGATAATTTTTTGTTTGTATTTTACATTTATAAAGAAGGAAAATTTTTGTCTTTGTTAGATTGAATTCTGGGAAAAACAGCAAACTAGTTTTTCCCTGAAAAAAAAATATCTGATGCATTTTTAAATATATAGAACACTTATTAAAACTGATCGAGTCTAGCGTTATTTTTGGGACAGGAGAAACCATCTAAAATGTTCTGAAAACTCTAATGGAAAGAGAAAGCAGGATCACATAGCGCAAATCTAAGTATCATATAAAAATTTCTTCAGATTCCAAAAAGTTGTACCCAATTATTGTTTCAGTGTCAAAAGAGAGCCAAAATTCTGAATTTTCAAACCAGTTTACTTCTAAGCGTAAGTGTCTAATTTTTCCTAAAAATTCGCTGATTGTTAATTGTAGTATCATATCCAAGCCTTTGATCGTAATCCGGGTACTGAAAGTTTCGAGTTTTTCAGTTACGAGCATTTTGTGCTATTTGTATAGCAACCTAATGACCTTGTTACTATATCAAATATTTCCCAGAATTGCTCCATTGAACAATTGCTCCCGTACCTAGTAAATGTTCTAATTCAGATGCGAAATAATCTTTTTCAGATCTGAATTTCAGATCTGAAAAGTTAATGATTCTGACACAATTGTTGCTATTTTTGATATAATTTTGTATTTGATTGCTTTTTCTAGCTACTAGCAGGTACTCAGCAAAGTCTCAAATGGGAGACTGCCAAAATATGTTTCCCCCAGCAAGAGGTAAGCATTAGAAACGCATAAGTAGCGCATGACAATCTAAAATTTGACAAGTGTTCTAACATATTTTGAGAACTACTTAACACAGTTAAACAAAAAACTTAGTTAAAAAAACTGTTTGTTAAGTTATTCGGAAGTTTTTTTTACCACTAGTTTATCTAAATATAATTGTGTATTATAGAAACATCCAAAAAAAACTCAATCGTTTGCTCGAAATGCATAACTTATAATTTAATAAAGTGTTTATCAGATCTAATTCCAGGTCTGAAATTTTGTTTTTCCAGGTTATTTCAGATCTGAAATTTTCTATTTTAGATCAAAATTTCATATCTAAATTTTGTAAATTCTAATCAAAATCTGAAATAAAGAACTTCAGATCTGAGAACCAACTTATGTAAGAAATAAAAAATTTCAGATTTTGCACAGAAATACTCCTGAGTACGGGCTCTCAGGGTTTCGACCCACTCATAAACTAAAGGGTTTCATTTTAAGTATTATTTTACATCTTTTTTTTGGCCGATCAAACTTAAAACCTCGCTGTTTTTTTTTCAAATGTTGTCTCGCTGTCTGAGCAACTCGCTGTATTTTCGAAACCTTGCGTTTGGTCAAAATAAGGTTTTTACAGTTTTCTGGAACTGCTCGGAAAATCAATTTGGTCGAAAAAAAATGATCGACTAAATGTTCATTTTTTAAAGTAAATTCCGCCCTTCTCAAAAAAATCCTGAAACCGCCCCTGTTCAAAGTCTTTGGCAAAAAAAGCAATTTCAGAAAATTTTTTTCAAAACTTAGGAATTTGGCAATAAAAAAACATTCTGAAAAAGAATTAATATAACATGCAGGTTCTTTTTCTGCATTTGAAACATAGCTTAGAGCCAAAAAATCATGAAAAACAAAAAAAATAAAAGGAACTGATTCGCACTATTTTTTCGTTAGTTTTTGCCCCTTAACTAATTTTTTGTTTAACTCTTGTGTTTAAACTTTCAATTGCTGGTCTTCAAAAAGCTCAAAATACTTCAGTACTTCAAAATGCTTCCTGAAATTGATCTGAACAGCTTGTTGCTTTATAAAAAAAATAGATCATAGTTTTTTGGCCATCATTAGTTGAATCAACTATGGTGTACCACAATGTTCAACACGAGATAAGAGATACTATAAACACAGACATAACAAAAACAATTTTTCGCAGCGAAAATTAACTTACTACAAGGGCAAAAAGAAAATCGAATAAAAATAGGTTTTTGCAATTGAATAAAGATATTCTTTTTTGAAGCGTTAACAATTTCCAATGGTTTTTCGGACTTGTTTTTCATAAAATAATAGACGTCTGTATTTGTGAAAACAAACATTTTTTAAGTATGTTATCGTAAACTTCCAACCCTTTGTTATAACTTTTTTCCGGTCATCTTATTTTGATTTTTAGACAACAGCTAAAAACTATTTTTTTTTGCGTTAGTTCTCAATTTTTTTTTCTTTTTTTAAAACATTTTTAGGATATTTAAGTTTTTTGCGGTCCTTTTTGAGTATATGATCTAGTTTAAAAAAGTAGGCGAGTAGATTTTGCTCATGAAGATACCACCCGACAGGCTGATACCTTGTAGTACGGCGGTTAGATTTTGTTGATGGAGATGCCATTCGACAGGTTGATGCTTTTGTGTGGTAATTTCCCAGGCCGAGCTAAATTTTAAACGTACAATTGTATAGAAAATATCTATACAGAAAGTATCGATATGTTTTGGGTCCAATCAATTGATTTTTTATCTTCTATGAAAGCACTATAAAAACCCTATTCTCCATCCACTCATGACATAATAATTTTGATGCATGCAATTACTTATTGACACATATGTTAATATTGATCCAAAATAACATTGATACATCTTTGGAACAGATGCGATCTTACCGCTGTTATAGGCGACCACGATAGCAAAGGGCATGACTAGAACAGCCACACCCATGTCAGTCATTGCCAACGACACTAGGAAGAAGTTAGTGATGTTCTGCAGTCGCTTGTCGAAGATGACTGCCAAACATACCATCAGGTTGCCCAACATCGTGCACAGAATCACAAAGCCCAGCAGCAAGTAACACCACCCACACTCGCGAGTGGTTCTCATTGGTTCAAACGCATCCTCGCCCTCTGATTGGTTAAGACTGAGATCCGACGAAGGCAAATCATTACTGCTGTTTAAGGAAACTTTGTTCGAAGTAACCATTTGCTCTTGCAAAATTGTAACTATGGACATTTTGATTCTGAAGATCTGGATCTGGATGTCAATGAATGAGAAATAAGCCGGCGTTCGATTTTAAGTATTTTCAAGTTGTCTTTTGATCGCAATGTTGGAGACTGAGTAAATATATTTTTGCCGCGAGCGTCATCAATAATTCACAGAGCACAGGGTCCACAACACTCTTCACTAAAATAAAATTAAATAAAAAAGAACTTCTAAAAATAGTTGATACAATTAAACTGATCTAATATCAAAGAAAAGTCTATTGAATTAAAGTCTATAGTACAAATCCTAATAGACAAGCATTTAATTTTAATTTCAACTAATTCCACGCAAATGAAAAGCTTTTTTGAGCTCAGGATTTTAAAGAAGTGATTAAATGAAAACTGAGACGAAATAAAAAACAATTATTTTGACATGCGTTCAACGAAGGCAAAAAAACGAGAGTAGGTAATTTTTCTGTTGTGAATTCAGCGTAAGCTATGTGGGTAAGAGGTAACATTCATTTCCACAAATGAGAAAAAGCTATTTTTCCATTTGCAGTTCTGATTAGAGGCCGTTCAAGCGATTTGATTTGACGGGCCGTGGAGAGGAAACTGTTTATCTGTAATACAATCAAACCATACAACCAGTTAAATTAGTTATTTTTCACCTTATGACCGGTGTTGAACAAGCGGTGTGTGAGTAACCGCAGATATTGGTCGTTGTCAAAAAGGGGAAAATGGTTACAAGAAAGCAGGCTGAAGTTGACCGCTTTTTGAGTCGAAATGAATAATAAGCACTTGTTTTAATTGAAAAATAACTATAATGACGGGTGCAAAGTCGGCGCCAGATATATATTCGATTCTATTTTCCTCAACAAATTGAGAGTTAGCTGGTGCAAAGAGTGGACCACCCTGGTTCCAAACTTTTTCTACTTTTAAAAATATTATTTTAGACTAAGAGGGTCACAAAAATAAGTTAACATTACTATAAAAGGCCTCATAAATTAATGCAAATAAGAAAAATTTTTTAAACATGTATGCAAAACTAAAGAAATGGCGCTCAAAATTTGAAAACAGAAACGGAACCTAAAAAACTGAAAAAAATGGAACCCAAAACTTTAAACTTTTTTTAAACTATTGAACAACCTAAACATATCCGAATCTTCTTAACTCAGAGCTTCACGAACATTTGCGGTTCTTCTTATTAAATAATATCATCTCAACTTTATAAAGAAGAAAAAATTTAAATGTTGAGCTACAAATGGGTTGTTCGGCCCTTCAAAGAAAATATAGACTTTTTTTTCTTTAGACATAAACTTTCAACTAGCTCTTTTGAAAACTTTCCTTGCCATCTGAAAATAATTCACCAGCAATTTTTTTGAAGCTATGGGGTTTTGAAACATTTTAGTAGGAATGGAATATTAGAAGAGCGCAAACAATCTAATTTCTGCTGAAGCATAGCGTGAGCGGAAGGTACATCCAATCTTTTTTGAAATAGGTCCAATATGAAGTTCCATAACTTGCATAAAATTGCATGCAGTTACGCGAAATATAACCCTTGAAGAGACCCGCACTGACAAAATTGGATTTAGATCAATTTTAGTATGAAAGAAGTATGCAGATTAAATTGAAACTGATTTAAGTTGTAGAAAAAGTAAGTTAATCAAAAAGAAACATTCAATCGATTTTAAATTGAATCATTTCGATCTTAAATCTGGCCTGAATGAAATCGATCTAAATCGATTTTGAATCGATTTAAATCATTTTTTTAAATTTTTTTTTCTTCAAATTTTTGAAAAAAATTGAAAAGTTTTGTTATGTGTCGTTACAGATACCAAAATTGACTGAATTGCTTGAAAAATAGGACCAACAACCCCCCCCCCCCCCCTATTCACACCATCCCTAAATCCCCCCTTGATGCGACGAGTGATGGCTGCTCTTCAATTTTGACTTTTATAGACTACCCCTTCAGAAATTCCCCCGTTTACCAAAAGACTCCTTCTTTGGTACTATTTTTTGGATCGGCCCAAGAAAAAAAATCTATGGCGCCTTTGGTGCCAATCATTGTATATTAAATTTGTATATGCTACTTTTTATACCAAATTTTTGAGGTTTAATATATACTGATTTTTAACTATTGTTCTTGAAGTGTCAAATTTCTTCCAATTTTGAAACAAAAACTCATCTTTTAGTAATTTTTTGCCAAAGTTCTACTCACCCGTCATCTGTTTCAATAACTCAAAACTTAATCGTTTAAATGAATGGCACCTGAGAATGAAATGCCACTCAAATGATTATAACAACATGTACAAATATTTTGAACCTTTCAAAACTTAAGAATGATTTTTGAGTCGATCTGACTATCGTTCTTCTCATTGAAGTTAAGTGTCAATTAAATCTTTTAATCGTTTTCAGATAATATTTTTGATAGCAAAAAATCTGATTTATAATGATGATTTTCTAGATTTTCGTTGCATATTTTTGAGCTCAAATTTTGATTTTTAGCGACCTTTTCTCTATTTAATACATTGATTTTTGCCCATTAACTGATTTACATTGATAGTTTTTTTAATAACTTGATAGCATATTTTTGAGCTCAAAATCTGGTTTAAATTAATATTTTTTATTTATTTCTTGAATTCTAAAAGATCTGGCACGTGTGTTTTTATTTAAAAAATCAAGAATAAAGTATTTCAATTAGTTTTGTAAATATCATGTTTTCTTGCCTTGTTAGCAAAAAAATCGATTTTTGTGTGTCGGAAAATCCATCCAAATCGATTTAAATCGATTTTTTAGACACTTAAATTGGTCCAAAGTTTTGAAGAAAGATCAATTTAAATCGATTTAAAATGGATTTAAGTGATATTTTGATGGATTTAAGTGAGATTCGGATGGATTTTAGTGAGCCGGAAAATCCATCGAAATCGATTTAAATGGATTTTTAGACACTTAAATTGATTTAAAATTTTCAAAAAGATCGAATTAAATTGATTTAAAATCTTTTTAAGTTCGTAAAATGTACATTGTTAATCGATTTGGATCAATTTAAAATTGATTTAAAATCAATTTAAATTGATCCAAAACCATTTTTGTCAGTACGGGACGCAAAATAAAAAGACATTTAAAGACGCAATACATAACAGAACACAATTAAGAAAGGGGAATGATTTGATTTCTCCCTAGAAATTAAATCAATTTTTTAATAATCTATATCAGACCAAGTGGAGGGCAGTTGGATTATTCAGTAGCCTTGTACTGCAATAAGTCTTTTAGAGTGTTGCTTTTTAAAAATGGGCCACACGTTTTTTTTGACAATTTAGATTTGATATCAAATTGTTTTGGCCCATGTGATCGATAGGCACCTATAAAACACAATAAATAAAAAAATAACCAGAGTAGTTTTCTTTCCCTTAAGCCAATTTGGGGGAGATCGTTCTCAATTTCAAACTTTTTTTGCAGGAGCATAAATTAGGCTGAATTCGTTGGCCGTTTCTAGGGGTCAGAATGCCGTAGGCAGGAATTAGGTTGAGTAATAAAGTCCATTTACCTTAGGAATTAGTCCTGCTCAAAATGGATTCTGAAATATATTGATGCTTTGAACTCGACTCAAAAAGTTATTTCAACTGCAACCCTACTTTGTGAAGCTATGCGGTTTTAACAATTGCCTATAGGAACTATCAAAGAGAGTTAAAATCCTATCTATGCATATGTTTACAGTCATAGTGTAGCGTAAGCGGCGAACTACCTGTTCGCTTTTCGCTCTTCCATATGCTAATTCAATGAAAAGTTACACAAAGAGGCGCAAAATATCGAGAGACTGAAAAAGGTGCATAAAGACTCGAAGTATAACGTAATTGCCCGCACCGGAGTTCCATGGATAATAATTGGTTATATTGAATTCTCGTGGTCTGTCTCAATAAATTTCGATGATAATCGATTATAATATTTTTGAAAGAAAATGGAACTTGTTTTCGAGGCAAAATATTCCATTATAATCAGTTTTAATCGATTCTAATGGGTTTTTTTGAGAGGTTGGTCATGAAATATACAACTTTTTTTTTCAAAGTTATCGCATTTCCTGTTTAGTGCAGTTGCTACGTATTAGGTTTTTAGGCTTCATAAAGTGTTGCATTTCACTTTTCAATCTTTATAATGTGGTCTTATATACCCCGTTTACCCCTTCCCTGTTTACCCCCCCCCCCCCCTGTTTTTCTCTTTTCTCCCTGTTTACACCCCCCCCGCCGTTTTCCTCCCCGTTTACCCCCCCCCCCCACCCCCCGTTTAAAAATGTATAGATTATAATCCGTTATAATCAATTATAATGGATTTTAAATGGATTACAATCCATTACAATGGATTTTAAATGGATTATAATCCATTATATTGGATTTTAATGGATTATGATTTTACGAAAATAATCGATCATAATGACAATACAATCGATTACGTGGTCTAAATTTGCAACAATAATGGATTTTAATGACAACAATTTAGACACTATTTTTCCATTATAATCGATTTTTATCCATGGAACTCCGGTGCGGGTGAAGATGCGCGTGGGAAAATGTTTAGATTTTTATTTGAAAGTTTTTTATTTTGGAAGGCAGTGGGGTTATTCATGAGTCTGGTTCTGCCATGAGTCTAGCAAGGAAACTTAAATTGAGCTATAACTTTTTTAACAATCGAATTTGATATCAAAACTTTTTGGGGCATGTGAACAATCAGGCGCCAAAAAAAATAATAAACGACGAAAAAATAAAATCAACTAAATGAGTTTACTTTCCTATGTGTCATTTTGGGGGAGATTTTTTTGATGTTCCAATGTTTTTATAAAGAGCCTAAATTAGGCGATACTTGTTGGTCATTAACAGATTTTTACAATAACAAAGCTAGGTTTACATTTTAACTATATTCGAACGAGAAACTTATTTTGTTTTATTTCTATTAAATACAAACTTTGAATAGTACTTTTCAAAAAAAGATTGTTTTCATCTGAATGATTTCTAGCTACGAATAACTGGTTTCAGCCCCGTTTCCATTCTTGATTTTGCTTGCCATGTATATACGCAAACATCATAAAAAATGTACATTTTTGACGGTTTTGATCTTTAAGCATAGTACGCCACTTAACTTTCTAGTCGTATGAATTTCCTCTTTTGTCTAATCTTAAAAACATAATTATTTAAAAGCTTATTTTAGAAA